TGTATGAAAAACAAATTTCCCCAAAGATCCCTTTTTTTTTTTTTTTTTTTTTTTGAGACAAGGTCTCACTATGTAGTAGAGACTGACCTGGAACTCACTGTGGAGCCCAGGCTGGTCTCAAACTTGCAGAGATCCTTCTGCCTCAGCCTTCCAAAGTGCTGGGATTGCAGGTGTGTGCCACCATGCCCAGCCTCACATGATACCATCTTAAAGAGTACTCTCTATCAACAAATCTCATGTAAAGTTTAAGAAAAATGTCTAAAACCAACTCTGCAAAAGCCCTGCTTTGGCACTCCTTTCTTATTCCAGGAGTTTCACTGGTCTTGTTACTTCTGTCATCTTACATGTTTCATTTCAATCTCCGAACTTTAGAATTTAATTGGAATTGCTATCTTGGCTCAGAAGTGGGAGAGCATATGTAGCATATTCTCTCAATAGTTATAAATGTAATTTGTTAATAGACTGATATATGTTTTGGCAATTTATGTCAGGAAAAACAAAAATCACTCATCAGTTCACCTAGATGCTATCAGCAGTATGAAGAATATGGTCCTTTTCCTAAAGAATTTGTTTATTTCAATTAGTGTTCGATCAAGTTAGGAACTAGATGCTCCTCTCAATTTTAAAACTTACCACAAAGATACAGTAACTAAAATAGAATGGTGCTGATATAAAGATAGATATAGAACAATAAGATAGAACTGCAAATTCAGAAATAAACCCAAATGTCTATGGCCAGTTGCATTTGTCAATGGTACCAACTTTTATCAGTGGAAAAAGAAGTCTCTTCAACAGATGGTATGAGGACAACTGGATTTCTATAAGCAAAAGAATGTAGTTGGACTCCTACCTCATACTATATATAAATATTACCTCAAAATGGATCAATGATCCAAGAAACTAAAATCACAAAACTCTTCATCAATTTAGCAAAAGATTACAAGGAATAACACCAAAAGCACAGCAACAACAACCAAAAAATTATAATTTGGACTTCAATTTAAAACTTTTGAACATACAGAATTTAAAAACCTTGGAAATCATGTATCTGATAAGAATATTATCTCAGAATATACAGAAAACTCCTACAACTTAGCATAAAAAAACCCAATTTAAAAATGGTTAAGGACCTCAGTAGACTTTTCTTCAAAGATACACAAATGATCAAAAAAGACACAAAAAAAAACCACAATCAGTCATGAAAGAAATGTAAATCAAAGAGATACAACTTCACCCCTACTGATGATTATAATAAAAACAAAAGAATGATGTTAGAAACTGAAACCTATGTTCACTGCTGGTAAGAATGTTAGTGGTACAACTGCTAAAAAGAATAGTACACAGTTCTTAAAAAACCTAAACAGAGAATTACCATATGACCCAAATATTCCACTCCTAAGTACATACAGTACAAAGTACTGAAAGCAAGCACTCAGATACTTATTCATTCCAATATTCAAAAGGCCCAAGTGTTTTATCAATGCAAGAATGAAAAAAAAACAAAATATAAATATTATATCAAATAATGTCAGAAATGTAATTCTGATATATAACATGGATGAACTTTGAAAGCATTATACTAAGCAAAATATGCCAGTAAAAAAGGACGAATACTGTTTGATTCTAGTACAGTTGTTAGAAACAAAGGAGCTGAGTGAGTCACTCCCATCATGTAACTCTAAGCAGCTCCCTACAGTTACTCCTGCTTCCATTAACCTAAGAGAGGTAGGGAGTAACAAAAGCCTAGATCACCAATGCCCTAGGATGCCCTAGGTGAGAGCACAGGCACAAGACCATAGGCACCATGGGAAATACAGTGGGAAGCACCTAACGCAAAGGAGTCTGGCCTTTAAATTCTGAAAGCCTGAGTTACAGTCTCCTTTTCTTCCTATTGCTATTGCTGCCTTTGACCTGTACGGGATACTTTTCTGTTGCCCCAGCACCTTTCTCTGTCTGTATTGTTGTCAAGGGCTAGCCCTGAGCACTTCCCGTGATCTTCAATAAATATAGCTGCTTACTGTATACTACTTACAGTTGGCAATGCTTTCTTATCATACACAAGAACCTAAGCTATTATTGGCCTTTTCAATGGTAACAATTCCACGTATATTAAATATCTAGACTAGGCAAATTCATAGAGACAGTAGGTTAGTGGTTACTAGGGATTCAGGAAAGGAGGAAGAGAAGTTACTACTTAATGAATATAGTGATTGTATTTCAGGTATTGAAAAAGTTTTGAAAGTAGCGAGGATAAATGTACAACACCACGAATGTAATTAATGTCACTGAAATGTACATTAGAAATGGTAAATTTATGTTACATTCATATTCTCCATAACCTAAGAAATAGTTCACTATTATACTGTTATGGCTTGTATCTAGATGTCCCCTCAAAGCCGTATGCACTCATAGGTGATCTTTTGGGACATGGCTGGATTATGGGCATGTGATACTGTATGTGGTACTGGATTAGCCCACTAATTGGTTTATCATAGTTCTGGGTGTGGCTGAATGGATTTACTGCAGACAGAAGCTCCACCTTGGGTATAGGTGTCACAAACCAATAGGCTGTAGCCTGTATAGAATATAAAGGGAAAGGAAGGCTCACTGATGCTGTTTCCTTCCTGTGCTGCCACAGACTGTTTCTTTTCTGCCATGCTCCTCTGCCATGCTGCTCTGCCTTGTAGCCAGCCACTATGGAATGAAACCTCTACAAACCATAAGCTAGAGTAAACCTTTCCTCCTTCAACTTGTGGGTGTTGGGTATTTTGTCCCAGCAACAAGAAAGAAACAAAAACATATACAAAAAATGAGTTGTATATTTTAAATGGGTGAATTTTATGGTATGCAAGTTAGATGTCTAAATTACAACTCAATTTAATAAGTACATATAATATTCTAAATTCACCCAGGACGCCAGCAGTTACTGGGCATTTATGTGCCAGGCACTGAACTGGCTCTAAGCTCAGAGTGGAGAACACTGGAAAGACCAAAGGACAACTGTAGGACACAATAGAAGCATCCTTGTAAAGGGAGCCAGCACAGAACAGAATGGACCACACAGGAAGGGCCCCAGAAGGTTGTGGATGAAAACTTGGAAGAAAGGAATTAACTTGCTGTTATTTAAAAATCTTGTACACAGCTTGAATTTTCAAGATTATGTGATTAAAGTGGAAAGTGCAAAAACAATTTTAAATCTTTTTAAGAGATTTTAAAGTGAAAAAGAAGACAGGACACACATTTTGTTCACACTAGGGATATGTTACTTGAAATTTTTTACATCTTTAAGAAAATTTCTGAGCATCTCCTGATTTACTTATCAACATAATCTGAAATCTCTTATCAACCCAATATCCATGGTTTAGTGCATGACTTGAAAAACATGAAAAGGTTTCCACTGTTTTCACACCCAGCCTCAATTTTGATTTAATTTAGGTTTAAATGTACTGAACTGACAATGCAGTTTAAGTCATTTTAAAAATTATTGAGATGCTTAAAGTTACCTTTTCAGCAAAAGTTCCTGTAAGGCCAGCCATAAGATTAGGCACATGACTCCTAACAGGTGTGGGTATCACATGCCCAGGTCCTTTGCAAGACCTTGGAGGGTCCACCAGCAGTCTCAAGAAGCTCCCTGAGCCAAGTATTCCCAAATGCTACTTACAGGAAGAACGTAAATGAGACTACTTTTGTAAGGGCCATTTCAGAATGTGTATTATAAGCATATAGGCGGGGCTCATTCTAAACAAATAATCATACTCAAAAGATAAGATTGACAAGCTTGCACCCAGCCTGGGAGGCCATGTCTCAAAATAAAAAACAAAACAAAACAAACAAAACCAAGGAGGGGTTGGCTCAGTGCAAAGGCCTGGGGCTCAATCCCTAGTAATGCAAAAAACGGGGAGGGGCGGGGACTGTGGCTCTGAGCAAACTGAGTTTAATCCCTTGCACTGCAAAACATTTAAAATAACAGCAACAACAAAACACTAATAGGGTTCAATGAACTGCTTTTTGTAACAGCTAAAAACTGAAAACCAGCGGAATGTTTGCCATCAGAGAGGGACTCCATTAAGCAAATCACGGTCCTAGGGTGTATGTGGTGGTCAGTATTGAGCAAGCTGTTAGATATTAACTGGCCAGAGAGGAAAAGGCGGAGTCCAAAACAGTTACAGTTAGGTAAAGAAACAAAAACTTCAGTGCATCATGTATTTATAATTATTTATTTGGCCTCAGTCCCAAAGACACAAGGCCTCTATTTCTAGAACAAGGCATACAGAACTCCTGGTTGCTACAGATAGTGGTCCAATGATATCAGGAAAGGATACTTTCTTTAAAGCCCCTCCACCTTAGGCTGAGACCTGGTTTAAATAAGGAACTTTCTTTTGTAAGTTTCTTTCATAAATTTCTTACATGAATAAAGCCCCGAAGAACAACGACAATCTGAATAGCACACGAAGACATTTTATAATTCCTAAGTAACATCTAAAAAAACGTTGATAAACATCCTTATTATCCTGGTTCCTCTGACCCCAAGAGAAAGTCTGTGTGCATAAAAAGACACCCAAACTCGATGCCCTTTGTAGTGCTGCCTGCCTTCTCCCGCACTTTCAAGTGTCACGCTCTCTGTATCTACCTACTTTACAATAAGTTCTATCTATACTTCTGCACAACTGCTTATGTACCTTCACTGAATTCTTCCGCCATGGGCACAAAAGGACCGGGAAGGTCCGCAAGGACTGTTCCTCCCCGCGACAGCCCCTGGGGAGGCAGCTTGGCGCGGCCAATAGGAAGGACCAGGAGACCCACGGGGAAAGGCGCGGCAGGCACCGGGGGGGGGGAGAAGGCGGGTCACGGCGCCATATGAACCAGGTTCAGCACAAATAGACCCTGCTCACGCTCACAGGGAGAAGCAGACTAGGAGGAAGTTCACGCGTGTGTTAATTGGGCCGGTTTCCAGGCCGCGCCGGCCCACGTTTTCCTCAGCCGCAGGGAAGCTTGTTTACGGCGCGCGCGGGCCGCGGCCTTCTCCGCCCTCCCTGAGGCCCTAGGGCCCCAAAT